GCCCCCGCCTCGCGTCCCTCCGTTGCTTCTGCTTTGACTCCTTCTCGCCTCCCGCGCGCCCCGTTTCCCCCGCCATCCCCGCTTCCACTCCCTGCCTCCCGCCCGCCATGCTCCCCTCGGCTCCTCTCTAGCGCCCCCCCAACTCTCCGCCCCCGGGGGTGCCCTCGCGGATATGGGGGCCGCTCCCCGCGCGCGGTCCCCGGTCCGCCGGCCGCCGGGACCCGCGGGGGGTCCTTCGGGCGCAGGGAGCGCGGGGGAATTCTCTTTATTGAGAAGGGATCGGGAGCGCAGAACCGTGCCCCTTTATTCCGTCGCCCTCCGGTCGGAGACGGGAATGGCCTCCGCCTGGGTGGGTGCTGCTCTCCGAGCGACCCCGGCGCCCGTTTCCTCGGCGGGGCTTCTGGGGCGCTCCGGACGTGCCCCCCGGTTCAGTGCCGGGGGTCGACGGAGCTGGGACTGGCCCTTCCCGGACCGGAGCGGGCTTAGCGTACTTTCTGCCTCTCTGCTCGCAGCGACGCCGAGGAGCTAGCCACCCCTGTGGGGCCGTCCGCCGGCCCGGGACAGCCCCCCCCCGTGAAGGCACGCTCGCCGCTTCGGGCTCTGCCCCCCGCAGACGCGCGATGTCAGCTCGCGGGGCTGGCGCGGAGGTGGCGGCGGCGGTGGTGGGTGGGTGGCATGTGCCAGTGAGCCGAGCTGGCCGTCGGCCTTCCCTTCTGCTGTCATCCGGAGAGTCAGGTAGCCTCCCCAGAGCGAGTTTTCTCGTTTCCGATAAATGATTAATCGGAGGGCTTTTGTGTGCGTGCGAGAGAGCTGGGAGACGCTTACTGTGTTGCAGCGAAGGAAAAGGGCAGTTGCTCTCAGGCCAGACTGCAGCAGAGATTCGGACTAGCAGCAGCTGGAGGAAAGGCAGGTCTCACAGAACCATGTTGAAGAGCTGACGCTCTTGCGTTTTTGAAACGTTTTTATTTATAAAAATTTAGTTTTTGGATAGATGGTGCGTGCATGTGATTCAAAGTGAAATCTTCCCTCTCGCTTCTCTAGCCGTCTAGCCCCACTCCCCGTTCACTGATTTCTGATTGTTTTCTGGCAGCAGCGTGTCTATATGTTGGAGATTAAGCGAACTTTTGCTTTTTCTTTGATGCACTGACCTAAACTCTTCCTTGAGGTCTGACTCCGATTTTTGGTGTCAGAGTGATCTTGCTAGAGTATCGTTCTAGAGCAGCATTTCTGTCTGTGCTTGATTGGTAAGGAGGCTACTTCTGGAGCTCCTAAAGGCGGTGCGAGGGAGGGCCTCGATGTATTTTAAAGGAAGGCCCGCATCCTTTGGAAGTAACTGCTTTTTTTGTAACTGATACTTAGTCTCTCTTTGGGGATGGACTGGGTCCAGGATAGTCTTTCCTTGGGCTTTTTAAACAGGTAGGTTGTATGAATAATGAGTTAGTGGGAGTACTGATCTGCTAGTGCTGTCTTCCATTTTTAGAGGAATACAATTTTTTAGTCTAGAGGCAGTTGTAGTCCTCATGCTAAGGAATGGAGCAGATAAATATTCATCAGTAGGAATCAGAAGGCCGGACCTGTAGGCTGAGTGACCCAGTTTGAGAAGAGGTGAGGCTTACGGACTTTTGTCCTGCTTATTCCTTACTTAGAGAACACTTTCGATGAAGTGAGAGGAATTTGTAGCTGACAGCAGCATCCATCTTTATGACACTGGTTTGCCTCCCCTGTGTGTGATGTCTGTTAACTTCCTGTTTAGAGGCAGTCCGAAAAGGGTCAGAATAGAGGCTGCACTCAAATACTTGTCTAGGAACGGTGTTGACCAGGTTCCCTGATCAGCCCTTCAAGTCTGAGTTCTGGCATAAGGCCATGGGTGTTGGGAGGGAAGATGTGAAAAATTTTTTCTGAACCTCGTAGTCTTAAAGTATATTCAAAAGCCTGTGTGCTGCCCCCTTTCTTTCTTTCTTTCTTGGACAAATGTTTCCAATCCCCCCCACACACATACCTTTTTTTTTTTTTTTTTCCCTTTCCCTGGCTTGGCCTGGCCAGACCTTCAGGTTGGATTTTGGTTACAGAACAGCAGAGTGGGGGTGGGAGGAGGGTGTCACTGTGTCAGTAATAGTATCCTGATCGAATGCTGGGACCCCTGGATTCATCCTAGCTTTCAGCAGTATGTTGTATGTAAACCAGGCCTCTTGCTTCAATTTACTGTTTCTTCCTTATCTTCCCCACCCACCGAGCTGGAGGTGCATGTGTAGGGGAACAGCAGTTGTGCTGTCCTGGTTTCTAGACTCTGGAGTATATTCCATGTCAGCCAACCCATTGGGATGAGCATGTTAACCAGCAGCCCCTCTGCACTCAGAATGCTTGTTGTTTGATTAAAACAACTGCTAGAGAAAGTGTAAGATTTGACCCTTAACTAGGACCAAGGAATTTTCTTTCCTAGACCTTTTACAGTACTTAAAGCCATGCATCATCATGTATCAAGGCACAATAGCCAGGCATTTTCTGAATCAGTTTGGAGGGGAGGGGAGGGGAGGGAAAAAAAAAAAGACACACCCAGATTGACTATAAATCTAGCCCTGGCGTAAAGCTGTCCATTTCTTGCTCAGGAAAAGATCCAACCTATGAGACAGTGCCACACAAAGTTGCAGTTCCCCTGCATTGGCTGAGCTTGGGAAAAGATACATAAGGAAGTTCGGTTTTTGTTGCAACGGTGTGCCTTTTAGGGGGGAAACCTTCTATTAGCTGTATTGTTTGGTGTATCCTCAGTATCCCTGTGATACCTTCTGTAGGTACTGGTTGGGGATCTTGGTGGCTCCAGAGTCCATGAAGCAGAGAGACTCCTGTACCTGTGTAACAATGATGAAAGCATTGAAGAATAGATCTGATTTGAAATGCTCCCTCTTCATGTTCCGTTTTTTCTTTTCAGGGATATCTGAAATATTCCTGTGTGGTTTTGAGTTCATTCAGTAGGAAAGGAGTGACCCAGGGTCATTAAAGAGCTAAGCTTGTCTACTTCTTAGATGGTATGTCCCTCAAAATCCTCTAATCTTTATCGTTGCCTTAAATTGGCCATTAACTGGCAAGAAACTACAGGAGTTTTGGGTTATAGTACCAAAAGCAACAGATGAATAAGAACACATTTTGTTACTTTTGAGGTACGGAACCGGTCAAATCCCAGACCTTAAAGTTATAATAACTGTAGAAACTTCTTGGACAACATATAAACTTTTAATTGTTATTAATACTAACTAGTAAAGTATTAACAAAAATGACAATACCTCCACATTCCCGAGCCATTCTCTTTCTGCTTTTCACATCTGAATGATATACATTTTTAAAATAATTCAGGTTACCGTTACATGAACCTGAAAGTCATGCATTAAGCCTCCTGATCAAAGCTTTCTTGATCTTGTCTCGTTTTGGGGGAAGGTGGAATTTTTTTTTTTTTTTTTTAAGATTTTATTTATTTGAGAGAGAGTGAGCGAGAGCATGAGAGGGGAGAGGGTCAGAGGGAGAAGCAGACTCCCCACTGAGTGGGGAGCCCGATGTGGGACTCAATCCTGGAACTCCAGGATCACGACCTGAGCTGAAGGCAGTTGTTTAACCAACTGAGCCACCCAGGCACCCGGAAGGTGGAATTTTGAATTACCCAAAATATAGGCCAGAATGTCAGTGGGATTTAGATTAGACATCAGAATTAATAAATTCCCATTATAGTTGTGAGGGATTAGAAATGTTAACCAGAGAGTTAGTGCATCTCTTACCTAGAAAATATTTACGGAGTTAGCTCTTTGAGAGCATTTAAATTCAGACTTCCTGGGAGGGAGGTTGTAGGGCTAGTAAGTGGCAAATTGGAATAGTAGAACACAGGTGTAGAGAATCTAGAAATCCTGAGTCAAATCCTAGTTTTGCCACTTATTAGCTATGATTTTGGATAAGGCTTCTAATATTTTTTCCCCATCCTACCCACCCTCGTCAGGCTCCTAATTTTTAAATTCCATTTCTCTCAGAGTAGAAGTCTGTTCTTACAGTGGCCTGTAGGGTCTTGCATGATCTGCGCTTCCCCGCCCCTTCTCTGTTGATCTCTGTCATCCTTCCTCTTGCTTACTCCATTCCAGCCACCTTGACTTGTTTCTTAAATACATCAGTCACACTCTTTATCTTA